ACAGTTCAGGGTCCGTAAATATTGATTTTATATCATTTTGACGAATATTTAACATTAATATACTGAACCGCAAAAGAAACGTCACCCCAAGTAACATTGCATGAAAAGTTGTCATTTAAATATCTGGGTAACTTTTGTCAAAGTTTTTAAAAATTTAACATTACCTTGTCCGGAAAAATGAAAATAAAATTGATGATAAAAAACAAAACAGATGACAATAAAACCGGTCTCCCAAACGCATCACGGCAACGGCCATGGTAACCCGATGCACGTGAGTTCCGTGCAAATTGAAATGCACATGCGTTCCCCCATTTCCTTCTTAATAAAAATCCACCCAGATCGGATAACATTCATTCGTTATTGAATTGCTACCACATGCCAAGATTGACAAGAAATCAGCGACACCAAGCCATTGGACGATTGCAAGCTGGACAAACCGCCCGGCAAGTAGCCAATGCCTTTCAAGTCCACGTAAGGACCATATACAGGCTCCAGCAACGGTACCAGACCACCAACACTACAGATGACCGACCACGTAGTGGAAGACCAAGGGTCACCGCCCGACGCCAGGATCGTCAAATTGTGCGACAGCATCTTCAAGATCGCTTTGTTACTGCTGCGGAAACTGCTCGCCAGACCATGGGGACACACCAGCGACACATTAGTACGGACACCGTGCGTCGACGATTGACGAGCAGACACCTCCACTGTCACAGACCACACCGAGGACCCATTTTGATACCACGTCATCACCGGGACCGTCTCCAGTGGGCAACACAACACAAGCATTGGCGCCACCAGCAGTGGAGAAGAGTCCTCTTCTCAGACGAGAGCCGTTACTGTATCTCAACAGAAGATGGCAGAGAGGGAGTCTGGCGATGCTGTGTCGTTGAGAGAGACTCGTGGGGTTGTCCGAGCATCATGGTGTGGGGTGGAATTGGTCTTGCACACAGGGTCGGCCCTATCGTCTTCCAGAACATCGGTCCAGGGAGAGGCAATGGTGTCACAGCAGCTCGGTACAATGATCAAGTCTTGAGACCACACGCCATACCTCGTTTGGCACGTCACAGCAACCACGAGTTTCAGCATGATAACGCCCGTGCCCACACTGCGAGAGCAGCAAGAGACTTCCTCCAGCAGAATGGCATCAGAACCAGGCAGTGGCCTGCCCTCAGTCCCGATTTAAATTCCATTGAGCACCTGTAGGACGAGATTCAAAGGCGGCTGAACGACGTCCGACCAAGGCCGACAACTGCAGCTGAACTTCGTCAGGCGTTCCTCAGAGTGTGGGCTCAAGTGCCTATGGCCTTCATCAACCGCCTCAACCATTCCATGTATCGACGTTGCACAGCAGTCATCAATGCACATGGCGGACACACGAGATACTGACTTGTGATGCCATTTGAGGCATTAATTTCAACCTTGATGATCAGTTTTGCCAAGTTTCATCTTTTAAGTATGTCTCAAAGTATGTTTACAGTGGTTGGACAAATAAGGTTTCTCATATATCTATCCATGGTGATGTTTCCTTTGCGGTTCAGTATATTTGTCGAGTACACATTCTTCCGTTCTTCCAACGATAAGCGTGTATTATATCTCCATCTAGTTGGATATATCCTACAATGACACTAAAAATATCTCTCCAGTTTAAATTACTCTCATAAGAGAGAAAAATTATGTGCTGATTTGTGATACGAGAGATTGAGATGGTGACGTCACTTCCGAAACGAAACGTTGATGGTGAATGGGTCCAGGGTATATATCACAAAGGATGGATATATAGTACCCTTGATAATTGAGGATGACCTGCATCCACAACACAACCCCATCATGACACCAACTACATCTGCAGCCAACACTACACAGACTGGACACGTCTTAGAGATATAACGAGCGCTTCTAGCAATGTTGATTTAGTTCTCTTTGTTTTAGTTTGTTTGTTTATTTGTTTGTTTAGCGCCGCACTCGTCAATACTCTAAGTATATGACGGGGGCCTGTAATGGTCGATTCTGGATCAGACAAGCCAGTGATTGACAACATGAGCATCGGTATTTGATATTATGATCAACGTCCTCGCAGACAGGATACGATGACATGGTATCAACCAAATCACCGAGCCTGACCTCCCGATCCATTTTGTCGCCTCTCCAATGTTGCGTGGGACGAAATCTCAACGGGACGATTATAAGGCCTACAATACCCCGGTCTTATCGTGATGCAATAGGAATACAGTAGAACACGGATATAACGCACACGGATATAGCGAACACACGGATATAACGAACAAACGGATACAACGAACTGTTAAAAATCCCCGAATTATCTCCTATATAATATCATATAAAATGTACATATATAACGAACTCTCTACAGCGAACTAACGTATACAGCGAACTGATATCTGATGACCGACAAGCCCATCTATCACTAATTAGTGACGTGCATAGCGAACTGAGAAATCTCACTCAGTGTATCAGGGGGCACGGGTGGTCCAGTCGTCTAAGGCGCCGCGATTCGCTGTGCAGGGTTGCGTCCCTTGGGCACGCAAGAAACCTATGATTGTGGGTTCGAATCCCGGTTCGCCCCGATTATGTTTCTAGGTTTGTCAGCACCATACCCGTGCTCGTGGGTTTCACCGAAGTGGTAAACGTCTGAGACCTGCATCACTTCCGGCTTTCCTCCCACCTTAAGCTGAAAGGCCGTGATATAACTGGAATACTGTTAAAAGTGGCGTTAAACCCAACTCACTCACTCACTGTATCGGAATAACGATGTGTACATGCGGCACGTCTTGTATATACAGAAGCTTCGCATCATCCTCCAAAACCACGTTTCGTGTCCCACACTACAAAGATGGTGTTTCAACATTTGCTTTTATCTAAACATGTAGTCGTGACCTCTGCTCGCGACAGTGTGTGAGGCAATCAAACAGCTGTGAACTAGAGTAGGCCACGCAGCACTCCCTTTCCAACATATTTTATTAGAGATAATACTTCCAGTGGAACATCTATGTCAGGTCAAGTACATGCCTAGCACTCGTGACCACCTCAAGCACCACCTGTACTGTCAACACTTGCTAGTTCTTGTATATACCCAGCCCTCTTCACCACCTCTAACAACCTGTCCTGTTAACACTTGCTGGTTCTTCTATATACCCAGCCCTCGTCATACCCTTCAAACAACCTGTCCTGTTAACACTTGCTAGTTCTTCTATATACCCAGCCCTCGTCATACCCTTCAAACAACCTGTCCTGTTAACACTTGCTAGTTCTTCTATATACCCAGCCCTCGTCATACCCTTCAAACAGCCTGTCCTGTTAACACTTGCTAGTTCTTGTATATACCCAGACCTCGTCATACCCTTCTAACCACCTGTCCTGTTAACACTTGCTAGTTCTTGTATATACCCAGACCTCGTCATACCCTTCTAACCCCTGTCCTGTTAACACTTGCAAGTTCTTGTATATACCCAGACCTCGTTACCTCCTCTAATACCACGTGTACTGTCAACACTTGCTAGTTCTTCTATATACCCAGCCCTCGTCACCTCCTCTAACACCACCTGTGCTGTCAACACTTGCTGGTTCTTGTATATACCCAGCCCTCGTCATACCCTTCAAACAACCTGTCCTGTGTCCTGTTAACACTTGCTAGTTCTTCTATATACCCAGCCCTCGTCATACCCTTCAAACAACCTGTCCTGTTAACACTTGCTAGTTCTTGTATATACCCAGACCTCGTCATACCCTTCTAACCACCTGTCCTGTTAACACTTGCTAGTTCTTGTATATACCCAGACCTCGTCATACCCTTCTAACCCCTGTCCTGTTAACACTTGCAAGTTCTTGTATATACCCAGACCTCGTTACCTCCTCTAATACCACGTGTACTGTCAACACTTGCTAGTTCTTGTATATACCCAGCCCTCGTCACCTCCTCTAACACCACCTGTGCTGTCAACACTTGCTGGTTCTTGTATATACCCAGCCCTCGTCATACCCTTCAAACAACCTGTCCTGTGTCCTGTTAACACTTGCTAGTTCTTCTATATACCCAGCCCTCGTCATACCCTTCAAACAACCTGTCCTGTTAACACTTGCTAGTTCTTGTATATACCCAGACCTCGTCATACCCTTCTAACCACCTGTCCTGTTAACACTTGCTAGTTCTTGTATATACCCAGACCTCGTCATACCCTTCTAACCCCTGTCCTGTTAACACTTGCAAGTTCTTGTATATACCCAGACCTCGTTACCTCCTCTAATACCACGTGTACTGTCAACACTTGCTAGTTCTTGTATATACCCAGCCCTCGTCACCTCCTCTAACACCACCTGTGCTGTCAACACTTGCTGGTTCTTGTATATACCCAGCCCTCGTCACCTCCTCTAACACCACCTGTGCTATCAACACTTGCTAGTTCTTGTATATACCCAGACCTCGTCTACCCAGAACTTGTCACCACCTCTAACACCACGTGTACTGTCAACACTTGCTAGTTCTTGTATATACCCAGACCTCGTCTTCCCAGAACTTGTCACCACCTCCAGCACCACGTGTACTGTCAACACTTGCTAGTTCTTGTATATACCCAGACCTCGTCTACCCAGAACTTGTCACCACCTCTAACACCACCTGTACTGTCAACACTTGCTAGTTCTTGTATATACCCAGAACCCGTCACATCTCCAACACCTCAACAGTTCTAGTTGGGCGTGTGTCGGTATATGGGTGGTGTTGTGTTATACACTGTCCAACATATCAATAGTTCCAATCGGGTTTGTGTCGGTATATGGGTGGTGCTGTGTGGTACACTGTCCAACATTTCAACAGTTCTAGTCGGGGGGGGGGTGGTGTCGGTATGTGGGTTTTGCTGTGTGGTACACTGTCCAACATCTCAAGAGTTCTCGTCGGCAAGAGAGAGCAGTTTTTAAAAGCTTTGCCTGTATCCCGCCATCGAGCTATGTCGCGTGGAGAACAGAATTCACCTTGGCCCAGATTCAACCGACAACCCTGTGAAAGACACAGGTGTAAAAAGTGTCATTTCATACAACGACACTCCTTGGCATCTACGTCACCCAGTACACACCTTATGTAAGAATTATCGTGTCCGCTTGTACGTATTCTCAGCCAGACAGCCTTGCGGAACACTAGCTGTACTCCTGTCAAGGTAAGGTTTCCATGCCGGCAACTTTTTCAATATCGGTTTCTGTTCAGGTTCCCTTTGCAGTCTAAGCGCCAATATCGCTTTGTGCAACATCAAAGCTTGCCTGTTACTGTACCTATCGTTAATGACAAACCTCCCCCAACAGGTTCCCTGTCCAGTGCTGATACTCCGTGTATACCGGGGTCTTCAAACCCCTCCAACACCAGGTGCTCTGTCCAGACTTGGTACTCTCTGTATCCAACGGGCGCTCTCAAACTCATCCAAAACTAGGTGTTCGGTCGAGATCTGTTACTCTCTGTATGTACTGTGTGCTATCAAACTTACCCAACACCGGGTGCTCTGCCTATACCTGTTACTCTCTGTACGTATTGTATGCTGTCAAACGTACCCAACACCGGGTGCTCTGCCTATACCTGTTACTCTCTGTACGTACTGTGTGCTATCAAACTCACCCAACACCGGGTGCCCTGTCCAGACCTGTTACTCTCTGTATGTACTGTGTGCAATCAACCTCCTGCAACACCAGGTGCTCTGTCCAGACTTGGTACTCTCTGTATGTACTGTGTGCTGTCAAACTCACCCAACACCGGGTGTTCTGCCTATACCTGTTTCCCTCTGTATGTACTGTGTGCTATCAAACTCACCCAACACCGGGTGCTCTGTCCAGAACTGTTACTCTCTGTACGTACTGGGCGCTATCAAACTCCCCAACACCAGGTGCTCTATCCAGACTTGGTACTCTCTGTATGTACTGTGTGCTATCAAAGTCCTCCAAGACCAGGTGCCCAGTCCAGACATGGTACTCTCTGTACGTACTGTGTGCTGTCAAACGTACCCAACACCAGGTGCTCTGTCCATACTTGTTACTCACTGTATGTATTGTATGCTGTCAAACTCACCCAACACCGGGTGCTCTGTCCAGACACGGTACTCTCTGTATGTACTGTGTGCTGTCAAACTCACCAGACACCGGGTGCTCCGTCCAGAACTGTTACTCTCTGTACGTACTGGGCGCTATCAAACTCCCCAACACCAGGTGCTCTATCCAGACTTGGTACTCTCTGTATGTATTGTATGCTGTCAAACTCACCCAACACCGGGTGCTCTGTCCAGACACGGTACTCTCTGTATGTACTGTGTGCTGTCAAACTCACCCAACACCGGGTGCTCTGTCCAGACTTGGTATTCTCTGTATGTACTGTGTGCTGTCAAACTCACCCAACACCAGGTGCTCTGTCCAGACATGGTACTCTCTGTATCTAGCGGGCGCTATCAAACTCCTCCAACACCATGTGCTCTGTCCAGACTTGGTACTCTCTTTATGTACTGGGCGCTATCAAACTCCTCCAACACCAGGTGCCCTGTCCAGACATGGTACTCTCTGTATCTAGCGGGCGCTATCAAACTCCTCCAACACCAGGTGCCTTGTCCAGACATGGTACTCTCTGTATCTAGCGGGCGCTATCAAACTCCTCCAACACCATGTGCTCTGTCCAGACTTGGTACTCTCTTTATGTACTGGGCGCTATCAAACTCCTCCAACACCAGGTGCCCTGTCCAGACATGGTACTCTCTGTATCTAGCGGGCGCTATCAAACTCCTCCAACACCAGGTGCCTTGTCCAGACATGGTACTCTCTGTATCTAGCGGGCGCTATCAAACTCCTCCAACACCAGGTGATCTGTCCAGACATGGTACTCTCTGTATCTAGCGGGCGCTATCAAACTCCTCCAACACCAGGTGCCCTGTCCAGACATGGTACTCTCTGTATCTAGCGGGTGCTATCAAACTCCCCAACACCAGGTGCCCTGTGCAGATATGGTACTCTCTGTATCTAGCGGGCGCTATCAACCTCCCCCAACACCGGGTGCCCTGTCCAGACTTGTTACTCTCTTTATGTACTGTGTGCTATCAAACTCCCCAACACCAGGTGCCCTGTCCAGACATGGTACTCTCTGTATCGACCGGGCGTTATCAAACTCCAGCCGTACTGGGTTCTGTGAATCTGCTAAATGTTGTTCAAACTGAAACGTGTGTATTTGCTTTTCAGGACCATGATAGCTTTCCTTGTTTTAATTGGAACCGTGGCTGTTTACGGGTGAGTGGTATGAGATAGTAAATCAGATCAGGTACATAATATGGATGGGGGGTATAAGTTAGTATATTAGATCTGGGCGAATAGTATAATCTGGAATTACAGCTCGCTAAAGACAGTTCTTATTCCCAATACATGCTATTTACCATCTCAAAACACACTTGCTTGATACCCTCTGTTTCATTTCGAAGACTCCCAGAACTTTAAGTTAAATAGCTTTCAATAAACTTTCTCCGTCGGTACGAAGATCGAGTTACTTCATTGCTTCTTTTTCTGAGCCGTATTGGTTTCTGGTGCCGCAATACGTTGAACGGTTGCGTCCCTTGGCTGCGTCATGATCCGGTAGTCGTTCGTTAATATTCCAGATTAGCCCTGATTAAGATTGTTAGTTTGTCAACACCATGCCCCAGTTCAAGGGTTTCAAGTTTAAAGTCAGGTTTACCTCCCAGTCTTCTTTAAAACTGAAAAAAAGAAGCCCCAGCTCATCAAGAGCTTCTCTGCGTTCAGACAGGGCCATAACCATGGCCACGCCCACAACCACTCCTGCATCCACAACAACCATCAACAGCTGAAGGCGAGTCAGGTGATCACCAGCGTCATCGCCGACATGGAGAACGATGGAGACGGCATTGTTGAGCAGACCGAGGTCAAGACTGAGTTTCTCACCAAGTATGACAAGGACAGTAAGAGACGCTTCTTATTATATACCTGCGTGAGGATTCGGATAAGCGTTGGTATCCGTAACCTATGTTTGTTGTAAGCGTTGACCATCTTCCCGAGGCAAGAGAAATCGAAATCCGGTTCGTAAACTGTCATGCAGATTTCGGTCGATTGAAGGATTTGCAAAGCATGTGCACCGCTAACTCGTTGTCAACAGATATTTTCTAAATCTTTTCATGTTTTTAATCAAGGTGCTCACGTGTTTTGATGCACTTCGCGATGTAAGACACGTTTTATCACAATATATAGATCTTGATTATCGATCAGATCGTCTTGACCTGTCGCCGCAGTTTTGTTTGAAGCAAATGCAAGTGATACGAGAGGGGGAATCTGATTGGTCCATAGGAGAGGCATAGAAGGGACATAACTCGTAATAGCCACAAGTGGCGCTACGACCGAACCCAGGAATTCCAGCCTAGTTCGGCAGGGTGGAAACTGGACTTTTAAAGTCAGTTAACTCTCTTGCCTCGGGAAGATGGCGTTGACTAGCATGAATATGTTGGTTGGGCACGCCAGAAATCTATGGTCTTAGGGTTCGAATTACGGTTTGCCCCGATTATGTTTCTGGGTTTTTCAGCACCATAACCGTGCTCGTGGGTTTCACCAAAGTGGCATGTGACATGAATCACTTCGGGCTTTCCCACAACATTAAACCCACACGCCGTGATATGACTGGAAAGGGCGGTCGGGTAGCCTAGTGGTCAAAGCGTTCGCTCGTCGCTTCTGACAAAACTTTCAGCGTATGGTATATCGATTAGGATTAATACCCTGGGCCCATTCGACACCGTAGCGTCGTTTCGGAAGTGACGTCACCACCTCAAACTCTCAGTCTCTTACCTCAACTGAAGATCCGGGTTAGAATTGATCTTCAGCAACCCATGCTTGTCGTAAGAATCTACAAACGGGATTGGGTGGTCAGACTAGTTGATTTGGTTGATGCATGTCATCGTATTCCAGTTACATAGATCGATGCTCATGATGTCAATCACTGGATTGTCCGGTCCAGACTCCATTATTTACAAACCGTCATTATAATGCTGGAAAATTGCTGAGTGCGGTGTTAAACAACAAACAACTTATTTAGTTCTTGAATGATATTAGTTCATCTGCAAAAAGATGTATCTAAAATTTATATCTGTAGTATTGAAAACAATAAACATAACTTGACTATATTCTTAAGAATGATAAAAGATCTTGTTCAAGTGATTTAGTTCCCAGAAAGAACAGCTGTATTGCAACGTTTGGGGAAATATGGCCAATGCAACTATTTGAAATACTGTAATAAGAAACAGTTGCTAGGTACGTATACATGTATATGCGCATATATATTCATGCCCCGGCCAATATACTGCCGATGCTACAATGACATGTCAAGAAATACGAACATTTAGCCGTGTAATATATTGTATGCATATTGTCTGTCTGCATCTCCGTCAAAAATTCGTCGAGACAATGTACGCGATAACATACATGCTGAACATGCGAAAATGCAAAATTAATTCCTTCTGAAATGAATAAAAAAATGAAAAATAAACAAACAGAAATTTTACACTGACTTAGCACAGTTTTTGCGGTACTATTTAAAAAAAACAATTTGTTCAGAAAATGCTTGAAAAGATCATTTTGCCTCGGGTTTTGCGAAAACATACTCGCTTGACAGACTGTTGATGATGATGTTTCAGTGAGCGGAGATGTCACGGAGGATGAGTTTGTGAAACAATGGCATCAGCGGTACCACGACGAGCCCGACTTTGCCGGCTACCTCTTCCACCACTTCGATGTCAACGACGACCTGAAACTCACCGACAGTGACATCGTCGCTTTGGACAAAGGTCTCGATACTGACGGTGGGTGTTCATTCATTCATTCATTCATTCATTCATTCATTCATTCATTCACGCATTCAGGTTACGGGATGGGTCGAGAAGGGGCGGTTGTCTTTTGTCGTAAACCTCCCGGTAAAATTAATGAATTTATTCAATTGGGACTGACTACAAAAGTGTACAACAATAAGATTTACAAATATGTACCCAACGGAAAGTTTTAAACAAATTCGAAACTTTAGAACACAATCGCATTAAAATGACATCTTTTTCTCCGATACGATACCTCTCTGCGTGAAGATCTAAGAAAACATCCATAGCAGGTCACGTCACCGCCCAATCAAAATGAAGGATTTGTTGGTTCTTAGCCAATCAGATGTCAGCTTTCTAAAGCTATTCTGCTCCATATCGTTACCCCCTCAATTCGGAAATTTCGTTTCGTACAAATGAAAACCAACACAGAACACACATGTTCTTTCGTTGTTCCTTTGTCGCCAGTTTCAGAAACTGTGAACACTTTGGACTTGACAGTCTCTGAAACAGACAGATGGATGGTGTGTGCGAAGGAATGAGTTGTCTCCCCTCTCTTTAACCTTGACATCGGTTTATGTATTGCAGGAGATGGGCGAGTCTCGGTTGCAGAGTTCCAGACCTACTTAACCAACGTAAGTCACGTGACGATACACTTTTCCAGTGATACACATGCAGTTGCCAGATACCTATCCGCCATGATGGTTTGAAGCAGAAAAAATAAAAGCCGCGGGTAGCTGTAGTGTTTAATGTAAAAACACACCCAAAAAAAATTCCGAAAGCATTTCCTAAACATCGAAAATTAGAAACCAATATCGAAAATTTACCGAAAATAGAAGTTCTATAATTGGTTGTGGCAACCTGATTAATTAATTCTGAAAATGTATAATGTTGATAGAAACAATCAACAACATTTAAAAAAGGAATCCCAGTGAGATACAAAAAAAAAACCAAAGTGAGATGGAAATTCGGAACCCGTTGAAAATCTAGAGTAGCTTGATTTATGGCTGTTGCATTACAGTAAGGTCTGTGAGGAAGTGAAAATAGTAAGGACTGTGAGGAAGGGGAAATAGTAAGGACTGTGAGGAAGGGAAAATAGTAAGGAATGTGAGGAAGTGAAAATAGTAAGGAATGTGAGGAAGTGAAAATAGTAAGGAATGTGAGTAAGTGAAAATAGTAAGGACTGTGAGGAAGTGAAAATAGTAAGGAATGTGAGGAAGTGAAAATAGTAAGGAATGTGAGGAAGTAAAAATAGTAAGGAATGTGAGGAAGGGAAAATAGTAAGGAATGTGAGGAAGTGAAAATAGTATGGACTGTGAGGAAGTGAAAATAGTAAGGAATGTGAGGAAGGGAAAATAGTAAGGAATGTGAGGAAGTGAAAATAGTAAGGACTGTGAGGAAGGGAAAATAGTAAGGACTGTGAGGAAAGGAAAATAGTAAGGACTGTGAGGAAAGGAAAATAGTAAGGGTTGTGAGGAAGGGAAAATAGTAAGGACTGTGGGGAAGGGAAATTAGTAAGGACTGCGAGGAAGGGAAAATAGTAAGGGTTGCGAGGAAGGGAAAATAGTAAGGACTGTGAGAACGACCAGACCGATCTTGGGCCACATCTCAACAAACATGGGATTTCTCTGTTCACAAAACACATCACTTATAAGTGGTGTTTTCGCTTGTCGGGGAGCAGATATCAGTTCGCTTTATACGTTACTTCACTGTAGAGAGTTTGTTAAGTGCGTAAATTTTATATGATAATATATAGGCGATAAATCGGGGATTTTTAACAGTTCGTTGCATCCGTTTGTTCGCTCCATCCGTGTTCTGCTGTAGTAGTTTGGGTAACTTTCGAAACTAAAATGTCATTTACTTATGGAACTATTCATTACAAGATGCAGTGTGTTGTTTTGGACAGGCGACTAAAAGGCGGCTGAAAATCCGTAACCAAAGAAAGAAATCGCCCACATCTCTGAAAATGGCCGAACGTGTCCAGTAAAACGTATTCTTCTCAACACACTGGACCCAATAGGACGTTTATGACTATTCTCAATTGACTGAATAACAAAGTTCCTAAATTTCATGATAGAGTATGTAATTATATTCAGAAATCACTGCATTTCAATGCAAAGACTGGAAGACTTCTGTTGCCCGAAAACTTAGGGACATGTGTGTGGGGTGAGATTGGTCTTTGGGTGAGTGAGTCAGTGAGTGAATGAACATTGTTTTTCGCCGCTTTCAGCAATATTCCAGCAATATCACGGCGGGGGACACCAGAAATGGGCTTCACACATTGTACCCATGTCCGGAATCGAACCCGGGTCTTCGGCGTGACGAGCGAACGATTTAACCACTAGGCTACCGATTGGTCTTTGGACTATATCATATTTTGCTGACACACACACTCACTCATATCATGACCAATTTATCTCCCCCTCCAATACATGGGACCCGTGAAGATTACGGGGTAGAATAGGTCATCAGCAACCCATGCTTGCCGTAAAAGGTGACTATGCTTGTCGCTGACTTGGTTGATGCATGTCATCGATCCCAATTGCGTGGATCGATGCTCATGATGTTAATCACTGGATTTTCTGGTCCAGACTCGATTATTTACAGACCGCCGTCATATAGCTGGAATATTGCTGAGTGCGGCGTTAAACAACAAACCAACCAACCAACAACCAATACATGGAACATTTGTTTATGACCTCGTCCCTATAATTAATGACCAGTACCTAAATGATGTTCAGATAAATAACTATATGTTTGAAAAATTGAACTGTGCCATCTTTTATCCACTGAGTTGTGTTAACACTTCGAATGTTTCAGCTCTACAACAACTGTGTTCCATCTCACGGCCATTGATATCATCTGTCAAATAAAACTTTGTGATCTAATATCATCTAATGAGGATATTGTTTGGAATATATTTCTTGTAAACATACTAAAACATATGTTCCTCGCTTTGGGGGGAACTATTATATTCCGGGATGGCCTATTAAAGCTAGTAGTAAGTCAAGGCACCATGCCTGTATATGATCTGTTATAGTCAGTTGGCCAGGGGTGAAAAACAAGATTTTCGTTCCCACATTTTCCTGTATACCTTAAACCTTTTCTATTGTATAAAGGAGGTATCTGTACACAATTTTCATTGGGTAGTAAGCTTGCAAGTGTGTGCAGGAATTTTCAGGGGGTCAAAATTGCATAAATTGAAGGAAAAATGCATACTTTGACAAAATTGGCTGTAACATTTTCATTAAGTCATTAAATTATCCAAATTAAGTCTTTGATTACAGGTAATAGGTTCGGTTATCTGAATTTGGCAAACATTTTGTTTCATTTAACTGTTATTCTAATTCTCAGTGGAAACATTGGTAAAAATCATGTTTTTTTACTTCATTTTCAAATCTTGTGAGTAGGTAAAACACTAATTCCATTGAATTGTGATAATAAAACCACTATAACTGGGTATTAAAATCTGCCTTAACCATTGTACTATCCTATACAAAAAACAAAATGAAAATATATTATATAGGGGTTGAGATATTGTATACAATGTTACCCCACCCCCCAAAAACCAATTTTGATGAAAATTGCTTATTGAGTTATGGTGGTAGATGATGTTGCTGTAGTGGATGAGTTGGATAATTGCAACAATGCCTAAACACACCAAAATAGTAAACTCAGAAAGAAAAATTATGTTTCAAGTTTTTCTGTGAGCATTTATGGTGGCCATCTTGAATTTCAAGATGGCCGCCATTTTGACCTGTTTTTAAAAACAAGATCTTATATAGTTCTTCAACATGGTCATGTAATATATCATATGAAAGCTTTTTACATTGTCTTTTCAATGATGTACATTCACTGACTCCTGTGGTAAATTGACCCCCAACAATGAAAAGAGGAAATATTGAAAGCTAATTTCTCTCGTGACTTCAACCCATACCCAAATTTAGATTTATATTGAAATGGACATATTTTCACTCAAAATTGTAGATATACAGCACTTTAGTTCTACAACATGGTCATGTAATATATCATATGGAAGCTTTTTTACATTGTCTTTTTAATGATGTACCTTATTCACTGACTTCTGTGGTAATCTTATCCCCCAATAATACAACAAATGATATATCGAAAGCTAATTTCTCTAGCAACAACAACCAACCTCCAAAGTCGTATTTTAATAAAATGGACATCGTTTCACTCACAAATTGTAGATAAACTGCACTTTTGTCTGAGCATTTCACTAGTTTATCGTTTGAGTGAAAAAAAACATGAGAATACTTGTAGTATTATGAAGTATTAAAGATTACATCACAGAGTCAAGGGCTGTGAAATAATGTCACCTCTAGTCACCGTCAGAGTCCATCTCTTCTGGAAAGGTAGGTAAGTTGTTTCTGTTTAGGCATGACATAGCACAACTGCATCCAAGGGAACATCCCATGATGTTCTTGGCGCAGCAACACCTGGATGAGGAGCATCTGCCTGTTGTGCATTTACATGTGAGCAATTCTAGACACAGTGCTGGCATTCGTTTCTGGCTCATTGGGATGGTTTCTATGACATCCTCAGTAGATGACCACCTATACTCTTCTGGTGGTGGAATGTCAGCCTTTCCTTTGTGTGCAGAACACCACGTGATGCACTGGTGCTGACATCTGAGTAGAGGTTGTGTGGTGGGAGTTCCTCTAGGTCTCCAACTCTGTGGAACATGTCAGCTGTAAGTGTATTAATGCTAGTTGCAGTCGATGCTGGATTATACACTTTGACAACAAATGTTTCTGTCTTTTTCATGTTGAAGGCACCAGTTTCTTCTGTTGGTAAGAACAAATCTGATTGTGCGATAAATATGTTCCAGGTCGGCTTCTTGCCATTACCACTGAACTGGCTTGTTGTGTCACAACCATGACCGCATGGAATGCTGGTAGAGTTGCTACAACATCTTGAGTGAGAGATTGATGTACATCATCAACTTGTATGAATAGTAGGTCCTTTGCAGTACCTGCACCCACCTATATCTGATTTGGTAGATTTGGTATTGCTGCAGATTGATCTAAGGAAGATATTACATCATCATGGTATGAATCGAGGTGACAAGCTTTTGTCAGAGTTCACTGACAATCGATTGGCGGATAATGCTAAGAGTATTCATGACAAAATATCAGAAGTGTGTCCAACAGTACATGTTCCGCACTGTACATCATTCAGATATCAAAGAAGTCAACTCAAACCAATACCTTTAAGCAAGGAAGACAACGTTTCAGAAGGTTGCTGAGTGCCACCCTCAGTGGAAGAGAAGTAAACGTACCACATCTTCTAACACATGAGCTGTCCCAGACCCCACCTTCCCTGGCAACAACAGATGGCCTACTTTGTACAACAAAGCTGCATTATCACATTTGCTTGCAGATTCTCATGGTACCATCAACTGATGACACATAATGCATTGTTATTTCTGGCATGGCTCTTGTACAGGTTATAGGCAAACCAAGCAAAGCTAGGCCCTTTGGAGATTTGGCTGATGTTTTCAATTGGAATGTGCTGAAGAACTTCAGTGAAACTTGTACTTAAGTCGATGATGTCTTTGACCAATATGTTGCAAAGGCAGTAAAATCTGCAACTCGGACAAAAAGAGGTGATCGATCAAAGAAAACTTGAAGAATAATAGATAAATGAGACATCCTTCTGCTGGCTACATTGTCCAGTTTTATTGAAATGAACAAGCAAAATTTGATACAATTCTTGACCACATAATTGCACACACAGGCACAGCATCTCCATCATAATCATCAAATCATCATCATTGCAGGTGGATTAAGCAGCCCAATTACAGCAGTATCTTCCATAGATCAATCTGAAGCAATGCCAAATCTACTGTCAACACATAAAGAGGCAGCTACACGAATGGTGATCAATGTCATGGATGCCTCCTGCAATGGATACGACCACAGTTTCATTAACAGCTGAGACACTGATGTTAGAGTACAGTTGACGCATCATAAACATCGTTTTCTGCTCAGATATGAATGGGTGCATTTCAGTTGATGATGTACATCAATCTCTCATTCTCTCAGATATTGTAGCAGCTCTACCAGCATTCCATGCGGTCACAGGTTGTGGACCTGGAACATATTTATCGCACAACCATATTTGTTGCAACCAACAGAAGAAACTGGTGCCTTCAACATGAAAGAGACAGACTCACTTGTCATCAAAGTGTACAATCCAGCATCGACTGCAAGTAGCATTAATACACTTACAGCTGACATGTTCCACAGAGTTGGAGACCTAGAGGAACTCCCACCACACAACCTCTACTCAGATGTCAACACATTTGCATCACGTGGTGTTCCGCACACAAAGGACATTCCACCACCAGAAGAGTATAGGTGGATGTCTACAGACGATGTCACAGAACCCATCCCAATGACCCAGGAATGAATGCCAGCACTGTGTCTAGAATTGCTCACCTGTAAATGCACAACAGGCAGATGCTCCTCATTCAGGTGTAGCTGCGCCAAGAACATCATGGGATATTCCCTTGGATGCAGTTGTGCTATGTCATGCCTAAACAGAAACAATTTAACTTACCTACCTCTCCAGATGCGACGGACTCTGACGGTGACATTATTTCACATTTTATTTTTAATACTTAATAATACTACAAGTATTCTCATGTTTGTTTCTTCACTCAAATTATAAACTAGTGAAATGCTCAGACAAAAGTGCTGTATATCTACAATTTTGAGTGAAAATATGTCCATTTTAATTTAAATCTAAATTTGGGTATGGGTTGAAGTCGTGAGATAAATTAGCTTTCAATATTTCCTTTTTTCATTGTTGGGGATCAATTTACCACAGGAGTCAGTGAATAATGTACATCATTGAAAAGACAATGTAAAAAGCTTTCATATGATATATTACATGACCATGTTGAAGAACTATATAAGATCTTGTTTTTAAAAACAGGTCAAAATGGCGGCCATCTTGAAATTCAAGATGGCCACCATAAATGCTCACAGAAAAACTTGAAACATAATTTTTCTTTCTGAGTTTACTATTTTGGTGTGTTTAGGCATTTTTTCAATTATCCCACTCATCCACTACAGCAACATCATATACCACCATAACTCAATAAGCAATTTTCATCAAAATTGGTTTTTGGGGGGTGGGGTAACATTGTATACAATATCTCAACCCCTATGTAATATATTTTCATTTTGTTTTTTGTATAGGATAGTACAATGGTTAAGGCAGATTTTAATACCCAGTTATAGTGGTTTTATTGTCACAATTCAATGGAATTAGTGTTTTACCTACTCACAAGATTTGAAAATGAAGTAAAAAAACATGATTTTTACCAATGTTTCCACTGAGAATTAGAATAACAGTTAAATGAAACAAAATGTTTGCCAAATTCAGATAACCGAACCTATTACCTGTAATCAAAGACTTAATTTGGATAATTTAATGACTTAATGAAAATGTTACAGCCAATTTTGTCAAAGTATGCATTTTTCCTTCAATTTATGCAATTTTGACCCCCTGAAAATTCCTGCACACACTTGCAAGCTTACTACCCAATGAAAATTGTGTACAGAGACCTCCTTTATACAACAGAAAAGGTTTAAGGTATACAGGAAAATGTGGGAACGAAAATCTAAACTAAGCCTCTTTTCTGCTGGTGGCCAACTGACTATTATTAGTTTGTTTAACAAATACGGTTTTGGGCGTTAATAAAATACACTGACGCAAGTATATTCTATACAAATCAATTGGATAATTGAATATGCTTTCTTTTACATATTACATAACATCACTGCACAAAATTTGACCAGTTGCAGTAACACACTACGGTAATCGCATTAAACACCATTTTCAACTGTACAGTATTTCAGTATATC